TATTACATACGGTTGAATTTGTAATAAAAGAAGTTTCAGTTTGGTGCTAAAAAAATTGTCAAAATTGTAATAAAAAATGTTGAGTGGTGGGGATATTTTGAAAAAGAAGAAATTAAAGAAACTTTTTGCTCACAGTTTTAAAGTACTATTGAAACCATTCTGTTCAATTAAAAACTTCTTTTCTAGCTCTTTCGTCAATAATCGCCCCGCAAATCAAATTTTCTTCAAAGGGGTATTTCACCACCTAAAAGTGCGTATGGGCACGTATAAAAAATGCGTGTCTCTTATTTAGAGCTGAAAAACAACATATTCAACACTTACAAAAATCGGTGTGTCCCCACTTGGGTAGGTTTGCTTGTTAGTATCGGATTGTAGAGGTAATTTCAGTTAAGATTGTATTGTAGTATTCGGTCGCGTGTTTCCTTGCTTCCCACTTTTCCACTAGTCTAACCGTGGTCTTAACGAAAAGTAATTTTGCATTTGTATTTGCCGTTTATTGTTCCTTTGCGCGCAAAGGTGTATCAACGTTTCAACTCGCTGTTGTTCCAACAGCAACTACTTCAGTCTTATTGTAAAAAAAAAATACGCGCTTATAGGTGTGAACTATGATATATATTCACTAAAAGAAGTTAATTTTTTTTGGAAAATGGAAACAAGCTGAGAAAATGTTCAAATTTAATGTTTGTTGCCTAACAAGTGAGGAAACTTGGTGAGGAAAGTGAGGAAAATTAAGAAGTAACGATTACACGGGGATTTCGTAGAGATTTCGGAGACACTGTCCCACGATTACATCAAGTCCCCCCCTTGAGGAAAACGCCATGGGGAGACGATTCCTCCTCGCGGACTGGTCATTATCGAAACGCGCCCTCTTCTCATATGCATTAAGAGGCGTATCGAGCGCGCGCGTGGCGTCAATTCCCGCGTCGAGAAGCCCCCGTTTGAAATACGAGCGTTATTTGTCTCGCGTATTAGCGCCGTCGCAATGCGAGATATTAAATTTTCTTTCCATCGGTAGAGACCGGGCCGATCGCGAGCGCGTTCTAGCCCCGCGAAGAACAAACGGCGCGCGCGTTCGCCTCTCGCGATTATTAATTTCCTAAGGTCTCCCGATGGCGCGGGAAATGAATGTGTACGTCTCGTCAGCCGCCCACGTGGCGCGCCTCCCTGGCAAAACTTCCTTTTTAAGTTACGTTTATTCGCGGCTCACCTCGTTTCAGCTCCCTCGGGAAAACAGCGGCGAGCCCGTAGCGCCCCGCTCGCTAATGACGTTGTTCTACTTCCCACGCGTTCTTCATCGAACGCGGCGCGAGCGCGATCCCTCAAAATCGGGTTACGTTTTCGAGAAACGCGCAAACCGATATCGTTATCGAGCACGCTGTGGCGCGTATGAATTATTCATCAAATGTCAAAGGTTACAAAATACTCCATACGCCGTATATTCGCCGGTCGTGCCGCGACCCCCCCCCCATCCCCCCCCCCCGAGTCCCTCGTGAATTTCGAATCGACTTTCCCTTTCGGGAACTTACGGGGAAGCTCGAGTTTATCGGCTATCTGTCAATTAAACACCGAATTAAAGCCTCGTCTCGCGAAACTCCGCGGTGAACTCGCGAAAGAAGATCCCTCGGTATATTTACGCTTTTAAGATTCGACCGCGCCGACAGTTTCCAACTTTCGATTTTAAGTATCTTCTGATAACAAATCGAGATCCCGCGGTCCCACGAAAACGCGCCCGTTCAAACGTAACAGCCTTATCATTCCGAACGTCTTCGTTCGCCGATTCACGGATCGCGCGATACGCTAGAGGCTTCTCCACGCAATTTCATCCTTGCACTTGAAAACGCGGAAAGTTCGACTTTCGCACGGTCCTATCTCGAGTTTGTACAATTTCCGGTTTTTTTTTCCGTTCAAACGCTCGTTCTCGTCCTAAATGAGTGTCCGAGGGCTAGTTTCACAAACGTCGGTCAACCGCCAACTAAATGTTAACTGATTCTCTGTCTCTTCTTAAATAATAAGACGGAAAAAGAGAAGAATCGACTGGACTCCGGCTTATGAAACCGGCCCTGGGCGGAAAATTGCGTAAAACCGAGACCCCGCGGCAGAGAGCAGTCGAGTTCCTTCGCGCGAGTCTCGTCCGCGTGTGCCCGACGCAATCGGCGCGGTGGTCCGCCGGAATTTAGAATATTCCACACACCGACGAGCACCCCGCGCGTTCGCGCCCACGCACCGACGCATACACACGCACCACGTGGGCGCGCGCGCACGTGTGCGCGTGCAAACGCAACCCCCTGTCCCGCTCGTATTCGACGAGCACACGCCTGTGCGTCGCGGCCATGTATAATGCGTTTCCACCGAACGTGTCCGCGCCTAAAAATGATCCCCGGCTATATACCGCGGTATTAACCCCCTCCCCCCAGTCCCCGGCGCATGCATATGTACGTTACCGATAACTATTAGACTCGTAACGGATTTTTCCCGCCCCGATCCATCTCGCATTCCAGCCTCATCGCGCGCGCGCGCGCCTCGTGCAAGTTTCGAATAATACGTTCCGCCTCATTCCCCGATTCGGCCGATCGAATCCGGGGCGCGTAACAGCCCCGGACGCTTGTTACAAAACTATTCGAAAAACTGGTTTCCGCCATTCGACCGAGCAACCCCGCGCCGCGTACGCGCCGTGCGGGTAAGACGAGTCTCGAGGCTGCTGCTGCTGCACGCAGCGCCCTAAGCACGTGACGAGTCGATCGAGCGTACGAGCGTGCTCCACGTGCTCGCCTCGGACAACGGCGCGATGACGATGACTCGATGCGCAAACGATTGAGACGAAAAAGCCGAAGGGCGCAAACGCGAGCGCGCTCGAGCACAGGGCTATCGGTGAAGAATGCGGACCGACCGGGGGGACGAGCGGTAAATAACGCCGGCTACCTGTGTTATCTAGGAATGTCAACACGCGACGTGCACCCTACGCTCTCCCAACGCTCTCGTTTCCACTCGTCGCCGCGGTCTTTCGGTTTCTTTTGAGGCCCTACGCGAAGCACCTTCGACAATGCAGGCTCTTTCCCACCCGAAACTTTAAATGATTATCAATTTAACTCGTCCGCCGCACTTGTCGCCACGTCTCGTCTATTGCAAGTTTTCAACTAAAGACACGTAGCTTTTTCAAAACGAGCCTACACTGGCCGATCATTTAAAACAAAACGACGCTTCGGTCCCAGACTCGGACCCTTTTCAAGTAATCTGTTCACGCAATTGTTTACGATCTCAGATCGTTCGTTTGGCCAATATCGTTATGTTAGTGAGATATTAGTCGAGAAATGATGGCACTCTTTGGTTGAAGAGAGCACAGTCGATAGAAGTTGCATTGTTAATTGTTAAACACAAGTATCGAGAGATATGTGTGGACGAGATATGAGAGCGTTAACAATTGTGTGAACAGATTACTTGAAAAGGGTCCAAGTCTGGGACCGAAACGGCGTTTTGTTTTTTTTGTTTTTTTTTAACAAAAGCATTGGCCGGTGTAGGTCGTTTTAAAAAAAACTGCATACCATTGGTTTTAAACTGCTGGCGATATTAAATCTATTTGTGAGTTTTTGAACTAAACTTTTTAGAGGCCTGAGAAGCTCGCGCCAAACTGACACGTTCAATGGAGCGGCGGTTCCTTTCTTTTTCGTCACTTTCCACTTTCTCGACTTTGGAATGTTTCAGACAATGCTTGGAGAGATAAGTTAAATTTAAAATGTGTAGCTAAATACAGCACTTTTAAACGATTAGAAATCGTTTGTCGATTTTAATATATGTGAATTCACTGACGACGACGATTCGATCTAAATGAAACTGCGTTATGTCCGAAAAGAAACCGGCGCGGAGGACAAGGTAGAAAACGGTATATGAATTCACATTTGAGATACAATTATTGGGCTGCCGACTCTCTTGCTCGGACCTAAAGGCGCTCTCGCTCGTTTGATTTGCATCACAATGGCCCTATTTAACTTTATTCGTTTAAAATATATAATTTCTTGCCCAGAGACTTAAACCTTAGAAAAATTAATAAGAAACGAAATAATAGTAAAACCAAACGTGAAACTTGAAAGTTGTAGCGGACGATAAAGAATTGGGGAAATAGTATGGTTCTACTGTAAATTATTTACACAATGCATGTATAAATAATTCGGACGCAGGGGAGAAATGCGTGTAGGGAAAATTTTTACAGTAAACGCACATCGCGAGTACAGAGAAGATAATTCCGTTGACTCGCTACGTTAAAATGCAGGTCGTAAAATTTTACGCTCGCATTTCCTAAATATTCTGCATTCTCCGGCCTAAAATTACCGCGGATCAGAATAATAGCTACTTTCACTGCGATTAATAATCATTAGCGTAACCGCTGGCTGCGTGCAACTTTCTCTACAAATAGCGCTCCATTTCTCAGTGCATAAAGTCTTTCCAAAGTTTTCTATATAATTAGAAAATGCAACTTAATTCCCAGTAATACGTTTCTAACGCCCGAGAGTACCCGTAACGGGGTTTATTGCGCCTCGCGCATCCGCGGCAGGGATATTATTCGAGTGTGTTATTGTCCATAATAAACTTTAATCGTTCGCTTCGGTCCGGGTGCCGAACGTCGCTGACCCGAACATAAATACATACGAAACAAAGCGAGGAGAGCTCTATCTCGATATCTGCAAAACCGTGTGCCAGCGTGGGAACAGGGACAGCGTATCTTCTTCTATAAACATCACGCGTAGCAAAAAAGATTCCCGTGTTTTTACACGGGCGCAATTTTCTTCTTAAAATTCACCCGGATATCTATCGACCAATTTCCACCGTACATTCGACTAGTAAAACGCCCTGTTGTCCCCGCAATCGCACGCTCTTCGGGGGTAACGTTTAAGAAAACGTCTCCGTGTAGCAGTAATAATCGTTTCACCTACTTGGAACTAGATATTGATATAGAACGATCGCTCGCTTTGCAGATTGGAAACGTACAACGAGATCAGGATGAAAACTCACCCTTGGTCCAGCCTGTCGACAGGTCCGCCGGGTCCCATCATCGCCGGGTGTCCAGGTCCCATAGGTCCAGCCAGAGGATGTCCGCCCGGTCCGAACGGGCTGCCGGGTGGTATACCGTACTGCGGCCCGCCGAACGGCTGGCCGTGCGAGGGAAAGTGCGGGTTGCCGGCACCGGGTGGCACGAACGGCGGCCCCGAGGAGCCGGGTCGGCCGACGAACTGCGGTGGCGCGCCGGAGGGCGAGCCGAACGGGCTGGGCCCGGGCCCATTGTACGGCGGGCCGGAATTGTTCGGGGGCGGCGGGAAGCCGGTGGAATTAGGCGGCGGCCCGGGGCCGGGCGTCGAGGAGCCGCTCGGCGCGGGGGAGGCGGTGTACTGCGGCGTCGCCGAGCCGGGCGGCGGGCCCTGGTACGGCGGTGCCCCGGCTGGGCTGCCGGCGCTGCCGGGGAACGGGCTCGGGCCTTGGAAGCCGGCATTGCTGGGCGGCCCGCCTGTGCTGTTGTACGGACCCGAGCCAGGACCACCGCCCTGGCCGACGGAGTTGGGCGTAAAGGGCGACGCCTCCGAACCGGGCGGCGGGCCCTTCCAGGAGGCTGGTGTACCGGGATCCTCCAGCGTGGTAGTGGCTGCCAATGGCGTGTTCAGGCGGCTACAGCCTGTAAACGAACCAATAATGTAGCCGCAGACTGGCGACAACGCTAAACGTTACGTTCCTTACATTAATTTCGCGGGGTAAACTACAGCAGCTCGCTGCAGACACAAGAAATATGGAAGGGAACGAAAGCTGGAGAGGCGGAGGGTGGCTTTGCGCGTGATACAGGTAACATTCTCCAGTCGTAGTCGACTGCTGACACCAGTAGGCCAGTGGTATCGGTGTTAATGAGTAACTTGACTCGATGACCGACTGATGGGAGCGTGAAAGAACCGTTGAGACTGCAGTGTCTACAGTGAATGATCTGTCGACCCTTGGATACTCGAAACTTCCCTATTCGTGTCACATTGGTGACAGAGAAAGTGACCGAGAGCAACTCTCGGGGGATACTACGTCAAGGAATCTCGCATAAAACGACACGGACTCTCACGTTACGTGTCTCCGACAAGTGCAGGAGCGTCCAAGGGATCATCCTGTGTAAACAACAGCCTGACGTACGAGTGTCACCGCAAGGCTCTGTACGTTCCTTTCGCGCGGGAGCGAGGACAGGGTCGCAGATGCAGAAGCGCGCCGCCGGACGTAAACATATGCAAGAGAAAATCACCATTGTTCGTCCCATTGGCCTTCATTGTCCCGTGGTCACCCAGCTCATTCCACCTCACCGATCACCCGCTGCGTAGTAAATCCGACACGGAGGATTGGACGAGGGCGCGCGGGCTCGTTGCCGAAACGTCCTCCCGCGGTAACGCGATAGCTCCGTGGACGGTGACGCGGCTCGCGGAGGCTCCGGCTCTCCGCGCCGCTCTCGCGCTTTAAGGTTATGTGCCGGCACACCTAACCTAACAAGCAGGTAACACACGCACCAGTAGACGAGACGCGCACGGACGTGTCCGGCCGGCTCGCGGCGAAGGCACACTCAGTCGCCCGCGCGGCTCGTTCAGGAGTCCGCGGCCGCGTCGATCGTTCGTCGCGGCGCACCGCGAGCGATCGCGAGCTCGTCACGGTGAAGCTCAAGCAGCAGCAGCAGCGGCGGCGGCGGCGGCAGCAGCAGCAGCGGCGGCGGCGGTGGCAACAACAACAAGGGCCCGTCGTCGTCGTCGCGCGGCGGTCGCGTCGCCGGCATTTTTCCAACGGTCGTCGCCCCGCGCTGGCCGACTCAGGACGCGACGGCCGGCGCTCGTACGTACACCGGTCGCGCACCCGCTCCCAGGCGCGTGCCCCGCTGCGACATGACGCTAGTTACCATTCATCCCCCGCGTCGTCACATTGCAGAAAAGTCCGCGACGCTCCGAACACGAGCGACCTCGCGCGAGTGCGCTCGCCCGCCCGCGCGCGCACTCACCACACACACACGCACGCACGCACGCACCACACACACTCTCGCGCGACGGGCGAAGGAGAGAGGGAAGTCGGACGAGCGAGAGAGTCGGACGGAGCGCGAGTCAACACCACCGGAGTCAGCAGACGAGCTTCGCGGCGGTGGTCAGGGACGTAGCCCGACTTGGCGCGAGACGCGGGGGCGACGCGCACTCTCTCTCTCTCTCTGACGCGAAATTTTCGACCCGTCGCGGCGGATTCTCGCGGGAACCTCGTAGAATTTCCAACGGCGTAAACTGCGCGCCCCTTCGCCCCTCGCGAAACGCTCGCCGACTTCTGTCACTCACACGTGCCGCCGCGGAGGCGCTCGCGGACGTGCACGCACGCACGTGCGCCAGGAGCGTAGCTACGAGCCGGGCCTCCGGCGGACCACCACGTGCTCCGCCCTCCCTCGGCCCCTTTCTCCCTCTTCCGCGACGTCTCCGTGTCCCTCCGCTTCTCGGTGTCGTCGCGCCACTCACGCCCGAGTGTCAACTGGATCGCCTCCTCGGCCGCGGACGACAATTGCTATTCCTTGCGCGGACGCCGACGAGGGTTGCCATTCTTCCTCCGCTGCGTTCTTTCTCCGCTCGCCGAGCGCGGGCGACAAGTCAGGGGGGGAGGAGGCCGCGAAGGTCGAAGCCTCATGACGCGACGCACGCACGCACGCACGCACCACCCCGCGCGCGAATGGCGACGGAGCGCGCTCGCCTCCCTACGGCGCTTCTTTTTCCCCAAACTGTCGACCGCCGCCGTCGGGGCCGGCACCGCTCCGCACACCTTCGCGCTCACGCCGGGTATCGATTGTCACTCGCGTAATTTCGCGGCGCGCTCTCGCCCCTTGCCGACAACCGTCGCTCCCGTCTTTCCCTCCCCCGCTCCCGTTTTCTTCCCCGAGCGGACACGAGCGGGCGGCGGGGACCGGCGCGAATTCGGCGCGACCGCTCGGACGCCGTAATTTCCGATCGATTAATCAAGAAACTTTGGCAGCGCGCGGTGTCGCCTGTTGCATGCGGCCGCGACGCTGTGTGCGTGTGCGTGACGCCGGGTACGCGGAAGGACGCGGAGAGCGTTGCCCGCGCCGCGATTTACCCGCGACTTGTCCTCGCGCCGCTACCCAGGAGCGGCGATTCCCACGTCGCGCACTTCACTCCGGGCACGCATCGCGCAAGATCGTTCCAGGGTTCCGTCAATTACAATCCCACGCGTGCCGATCCGCGCGAGCCTCGGAGTCGAGCGATTAACCTGCCCCGCCAATCGCGCCGCGTGCGCTCTCTCGCAAACAGATCCCACTGCGGCGGATTCCGCGCGGAACGTCGCGCGCGTCGCTCCGAGAAGCCACGTTTCCCGTGCAACTCGTGCGTCACTCGCGTCCGCCGGCGCGACGCCTACCTCGAAGCCGGGAGAGCGGAAAAACGCGGGGTGGGAAGAAAAGAAATAAAAAAGGAGCCGGGGCGAGAGAGAAAGTGAGTGAGAGAGACAGAGAAAGGGCGATCACTACTACGGACTCGCGGGTGACTCGCGCCCCCCCGCGTGGCGTTTCCCCTCGCGTTTCCAAGGTGCCAGCCACCCCCCGACAGGCAGGAAGGGGGTGCAGGCGTATATACGTGTATATCCGCGCCGCGCGACCAAGACGTCAGAGACGCGAACGCGTGCGATCGCGCGAGAGGCCGCCGAGAGAGCTCGCACCCCACGTGGAGCGGCTCCCGCGAACGTGTACGGCCCTGCGCGCCGAGAGAGAGCTGCACCCCCGACCGCAACGGGACTGCGCCGCGGTTACTCTTTCCTCCCGTCGGCGTCGCCGCCACCGCCGCCGCCGCCGCCGCCGCCGCCGCCGCCGTCGCCGCCACCGCCACCGCCGCCACCGCCGCCGCCAACCGCTGCGACCTGCGACGCGCGGCGAAAAAACGTTACGCTGCCTCGCCCGGTGCGCGTACCAACCAAGACAGCTTCAGCGTCGTCCTCGCCGGCTAAGCGACACGCGACGTCGTCGATGGAGTGTCGCGCCCTGCCCGAACGAGGGACTTTTCTTCGCGCGAGCGTGCAATGACGCGCCGCCGTCGCATTTTTTTTTTCCTTTTTTCCCTCCGTCGCCGTCGTTTGAAAGTCGCCCGTCGCGGGGGACACGACACTCGCCGCCGGTTGACAGTGTCACCCTAAAAATCAATAAGGGGTTCACCCGTTTCCCTCCTCCTCCTCCTCCTTCTCCGTCCTCCTCGTTTTCCTCCTCCACGTTTTTCTCCTCCTCCACGCGGCTCCTCTCCGCTCTTTCGCTCGCACCCGCTCTCCTGCTTCCTACCCCGTGTCCCAGGAACGTCGACAGCGGGGGTCGACCGGTCGCGGAAGTTATGGCGGCTGGACGGCACGTCATTCTATCAAGCGATGATGCAACGCCGGAAGGCTCGCTACTCCCTGAATTTACGAGGCCGCGGCCGCGCGCGGTGACGCGATATTGCCCGTCTCGCCCGGGGAAACAATTATCTCCTCGAAAATACGAGAACCGAGTAAAGTAACGTGGGCGCGCGCCGTAACAAAAGGACTCGAGTGTCCCAGTCGCGGCCGCGAGTCACCTTACCCAGAGACAGCTGAATCGATCTAACCGCTTTAGGCCTACGCCTATTATGTATGAAATTTCCTACTTGGAACGGAAGACATTTAAAACCTTTCTCGGGCGAGAACTCGAGGGCCCCGCGTCGAGTCTACGCGGTGAGACTTGATCGCGAATGATGGAAAAAAAAAGGATTCGTAGGATTCCGATGGCGACGCACTCGAGTCGCTCTCACGTTGAGTCGCGGCAACTCAATGTTGCAGCTACTCCTGAAAGATTTAGCTCGCTCGGAGCGAGATTATCGAGAAATATGCAGGAATTGTCGTATACGCGAGGGGGAGGGAGGACGCGCGCTTCCTCCCTCACGTTCGAGGCATCGCTCGTCGCGCCGTTATGGTGCCTCGCTCCTTCCGCGAGCCGTCGGCGCGGAGGCCCCGGCGCTACGGAGGAGTGTACCGACCTACCTCACTGCCTGGGAAATTTGGAGGAGTTACCGTGCGGAAGTTACGTCGCGCCGAGGCGTAATTATGAAACACACCGCGCCATGATTTTTATCATCGTTCGTAGACGCAAGATGGATGCACTCTTGGGATGGAGAATAATCTTAAAAAATAACCTTTTTTTTTTTGAAAAAAAAAAGTAAAAAGACGCCACGTATAAGCGCCATAAATCAAGAATTGTGTAATTTAATTATTTAGACATATTTCGTTAGAGAAATAAAACATTTTTCTCTTCTCTACGAAAATAATGATATCCACAAATTGCGCCAACTGAAATGTATATTTATATAAACTATTCGTAGACGCAAGATGGACGCACTTCGGAGTGGAGAATAATCTTACAAAATAACCTGTTTTTAGGGGAAAAAAAAGTAAAAAAGACTCCTATAAGCGCCACCCAATTAAGAATTATAGAATTTAATTATTTGGATATATTTTGTTAGAAGGAAACATTTTTATCTCCTCTACAAAAGCATCTTCTCTGCGAAAGTAATGATATCAACAAATTGCGCCAACTAAAATGTATATTTATACAAATTATTCGTAGACGCAAGATGAGTGCACTCTCGGGGTGGAGAATATTCTTAAAAAATATCCCTTTTTAAAAAAATAAAAAAGACCACGTATACGCGCCATAAATCAAGAATTGTGTGATTTAATTATTTGGATATATTTTGTTAGAAAAACATTTTTATCTTCTCTATGGAAGTAATAATATCAACAAATTGCGCCAACTAAAATGTATATTTATACAGATTATTCGTAGACGCAAGATGGATGCACTTCGGAGTGGAGAATAACTTAAAAAAATAACCTTTTTTAGAAAAAAAGTAAAAAGACACCAAGTATAAGCGCCGCCCAATTAAGAATTATTATATATAATTTGATTATCTGGATATAGTTTGTTAGAGAAAACATTTTTATCTTCTCTACGAAAGTAATCATATCAACAAATTGCACCAACTAAAATGTATATTTATATAAACTATTCGTAGACGCAAGATAGATGCACTCTCGGGATGGAGAACCTTAAAAGTAACTTTAAAAAGTAGCCTTTTGTAGAAAAAAAGTAAAAAAAGACGCCACGTATAAGCGCCATAAATCAAGAATTGTGTAATTTAATTATTTGAATATACTTTGTTAGAAAAACGCATTTTTATCTCCTCTACGAAAGTAATCATATCAACAAATTGCGCCAACTAAAACGTATATTTATACAAATTGT